TTTTACCTTGCCTTACCTATAAGCTTAGATAGACTTGATCGCGAGGGTGCGAGATTGCTGAGTCCCTGTGGCTCACAGATTACTATTACACCAGATGCAGGGCCTGATGTTTCCGCTCTAGGAGACGCGTACGAGCTCAAGTGGGAGTTCGACGAAGACTCTCAACGTTACTATGTTTCCTTTCCCGATGATCAGTAGTGTGCCCAGTTGGGGGTGAACGGGACCATGTCGCATGTTGGGTTCTCTTTCATTTTGGCGCCATAGTCGGGCCATGAGTATTTGGATGATGTAATGTTATTTATGTACTTGATTGACGTGGCGAGTGTAAGCCAACTATGTTATCTCCCCTTTATTATTTACATTACATGGGATGTTTGTGAAGATTGCCTAACTTGTGTCCTATGCCTTCAATGCGATTATGTCTCTAAGTCGTGCCTCGACACGTGGGAGCTATAGTCGCATCGAGGGTGTTACAACTCGTGCATAGTAACTACGCATAGACCTAGCTCATGATGCAACTGTTGGGGAACGTAGCAGAATTTTAAAATTTTCTACGCATCACCAAGATCAATCTATGGAGTCATCTAGCAATGAGGGAGAAAGGAGTGCATCTACATACCCTTGTAGATCGCGTGCGGAAGCGTTCAAGAGAACTGGGTTGATGGAGTCGTACTCGACGTGATCCAAATCACCGATGACCAAGTGCCGAACAGACGGCACCTTCGTGTTCAATACACGTACGGTTGGGAAGACGTCTCCTCCAACTTGATCCAGCAAGGGGGAAGGAGAGGTTGATGAAGATCTAGCAGCACGACGGCGTGGTGGTGGAAGCAACGGCGATCTCGGCAGGGCTTCGCCAAGCGCAGGGAGACGGAGGAGTGTCACGGGAGGGAGAGGGAGAGGCCAGGGGCTTGGGTCGGCTGCCCTCCCTCCCCCCATTATATATAGGGTGCCTAGGGTGGGTGCCGACCCTAGGAGATCCAATCTCCTAGGGGGGCGGCGGCCAAGGGGGTGCCTTGCCCCCCAAGGCAAGGGTGGCGCCCCTCCTAGGGTTTCCAACCCTAGGCGCAGGGGGAGGCCCAAGGGGGGCGCACCAGCCCACTAGGGGCTGGTTCCCCTCCCACTTCAGCCCATGGGGCCCTCTGGGATAGGTGGACCCCCGGGACCCTTCCGGTGGTCCTGGTACAATATCGATTACCCACGAAACTTCCCCGATGGCCGAAACTTGACTTCCTATATATAAATCTTCACCTCCGGACCATTTCGGAACTCCTCGTGACATTTGGGATCTCATCCGGGACTCCGAACAACTTTCGGGTTACTGTATGCTAATATCTCTACAACCCTAGCGTCACTGAACCTTAAGTGTGTAGACCCTACGGGTTCGGGAGACATGCAGACATGACCGAGACGCCTCTCCGGTCAATAACCAACAGCGGGATCTGGATACCCATGTTGGCTCCCACATGCTCCATGATGATCTCATCGGAGGAACCACGATGTCGAGGATTCAATCAATCCGTATACAATTCCCTTTGTCAATCGGTACGTTACTTGCCCGAGACTCGATCGTCGGTATCCCAATACCTTGCCACATTGAACTCCTCATGAGAGACCGAAGTTCCCCCATCTCCCGTAGACAAGATCGGATTCACACCGGAGTGTTCCTCCACACCATCTACGGTATCAACCATACTCTTTGGACGGTAAAGTCCTTAATAAAGAGATGAGGCTCTGATACCAATTGAAAGGATCGATATGGTTGACTAGAGGGGGGTGAATAGGCAACTAACAACTTTTAGCTTTTCTTTAACAAGTTAAACTTTGCATCAAAGTAGGTTGTCTAGATATGCAACTAGGTGAGCAACCTATATGATGCAACGAGGATAGGTACACAAGCAAGCAAGAGATATGAAACAAGTAAGCTTGCTCAAATAAAGGCACGAGATAACTAAGAGTGGAGACGAGGATGTGTTGCCGAAGTTCCTTCCCTTTGAGAGGAAGTACGTCTCCGTTGGAGCGGTGTGGAGGCACAATGCTCTCCAAGAAGCCACTAGGGCCACCGTATTCTCCTCGCGCCCTCACACAATGCGAGATGCCGTGATTCCACTATTGGTGCCCTTGAAGGTGGCGACCGAACCTTTACAAACAAGGTTGGGGCTCTCTCCACAACTTAATTGGAGGCTCCCAACAAAAACCACGAAGTTTCACCACAATGGAATGTGGCTCCGAGGTGACCTCAACCGTCTAGGGTGCTCAAACACCCAAGAGTAACAAAATCCACACAAGAAAGTATGGGGGAAGCAAATACCCTTTGGTGGAAGTGTAGATCTAGGTCTCCTCCTTCAATCCCTAGCAAACCAACAAGATTGAGTGGCTAGAGAGAGAGATCAGGAAAGAGAGCTTGAAGGACATTAATGGTGGAGTGAGAGAGGTCAAAGGTGGGAGTGGTAGGTGGGAGAAGCCCCCTTAAATAGTCACCCCACATTTCCAACCGTTACTGCGTTTTTTGCACTGCAGCGATACAACCGGTCCTCGTCCCGGTACAACCGGGACTCACGGTGTAACTGCAGAACCCTACCAAGCGGTACAACCGGACAGGCGGGCGGTAGTACCGGCTAAGAAAAATAACCGGACTAACCGCCTGGCTACCGCACAACCACCGCATCAAAACAGGAGCTTGACCGGTACTTGGGCGGTGCCTGGCCGGAACAACCGCATGGCCTTGAGCTCTTGGGCGGCTAAGTACTGAGCGGAAGAACCGCTCGGACCACCGGTGGTACCGGTCATCGTGGAACGACCGGACCAACCGGGCCACTACCGCCCAAGAACCGCATCAAACCAGAAGCGAGAGCGGTACTTGAGCGGTGCATGGACGGAACCACCGCCCCAGCTGTTGCAGAGCATGGTGGCGGTACCACCGCCCGGAGGCAGCGGTACAACCGCTCGAGCAAAGCTGGTGAGCGACAAGACCCAGCGGTACAACCGCTCCAGAGAGCGGTACAACCGCTGGGCAGAAACAGTGAGCAGAAAAGAGGGGAAGAGGCAAGGAAAACTCTCTCTCCCACACACACCTGAGGAAGGCAAAGAGAGGGTGAGAAAAGTGTACGTGAACTGATTCCCCCAGAGCTTCCTAATGAGGATTCCCTCTTGATAGTACGGGTACTCTACGACCAAAGAAAATAAAAGCGTGGAGGACACGTCTTCGATCTTTTCCTTCGAGAGGCAATAGCAATCCGATGTAAGCCTAAACATCGAGAACCTGAAACATATAGCACACGATTAGACCATAAAGGGTTGTCATCATCATCCAAAACATAAAGTAGGGAAATGCCCTTTCAACTACTTCCTCGGCATTGAGGTGGTACGACGCGCCGATGGGTTCTTTCTTCATCAGCAGCAGTATGCACAGGACCTTCTCGAGCGGGCATGCATGCTTAACTACAAGCCTGTCCCCACGCCTATCGACACGAAGGCCAAGGTCTCTGCGCTCGATGGCTCACCCGCGCCAGATGCGGCGTTCTACCGCTCCATCGTCGACGCTCTCCAGTACTTGACACTCACTTGGCCGGACCTGCAGTACGCCGTCCAGCAGGCGTGTCTCCACATGCACGCCCCTCGCAACACTCACTGGAACCTGGTGAAGCGGATTCTTCGGTACATCCGCGACACCACAGCTCTGGGTCTTACGTTGACGGCCTCGCCCTCGACTGACCTGGTCGCCTACAGTGACGCCGATTGGGCTGGTTGCCCGGACACGCGACGCTTGACTTCAGGCTACTGCGTCTACCTGGGGCCCTCACTCATATCGTGGTCATCGAAACAACAACCCACGGTATCCCGCTCCAGTGCCGAGGCTGAGTATCGTGTTGTGGCCAATGCCGTCGCCGAGTGCTCGTGGCTTCACCAGCTTCTCCAGGAGTTGCTTCTTGATGTCCCGAAGGCCACCATTGTCTACTGTGACAATGTCTCTGCGGTCTACCTCTCCGCCAACCCCGTTCATCATCGTCACACGAAGCACATTAAGCTTGACATTCACTTCGTGCAAGAGCAGGTGGCTCTTGGGCGCGTCCGCGTTCTTCATGTTCCCACCGCTCAGCAGTTTGCCGATGTCATGACGAAGGGGTTACCGACGCCTACATTTGAGGAGTTCCGGTCCAGTCTATGCGTCACTGGTGACGTATCGACTGCGCCGGGGGGGGGGGTGTTGAACATATTTGTGCATGTATCTGTTAGGATAATCTCCTACCGGCCCCGCCTCTAGTTTCCTTGTATAGATGAGGCTGAGGGCTGCCCTTGTACCTAGATATACGTGCATCGTGCACCCGATCAATACATCAAGAGTTGCATTGCCTTCAACACAATGGTTGTTCTACACGCATGAGACATTTAGCCAAGGACCTTTATTTTCTCAGGAAAAAAGGCAAGGTGCTTAACCTGTATGGTTATGGCTGGCTACAAGACAAAGTTGAGTTATTTTACTTTACTGATTGTCTTAACTATGTAAAAATGTGGAAGTTTTGCTCAACATCCTACAACTACAATCCAGAAGCTAGGGCCGGTTAGGACCCAGACTGCAGAATTTTACAAACTGTAGTCATTTGTAACTGCGAAAATCACTGAAGCTCCTGGCAATGCTTTACTGGATCTCCTCCATCCATAACAGATCCTCTTGGGATTTGCAAGTCCTACAAGCCCTTCAATTATGAGAACCAACTAGAATATGAAAATGGTGTAACATACATATATGTCATCAACAAAGAGCAAAAGGCTATCAGGCGGGGCAAGATCAAGCAAACACGAGAGAACTTAACATTCCTCGCATTTTCAGTATGTCGGTTTACAGGTTACAACGCTTGCATAGGCATCGATACAAGCATGCCCCAATACCAAATGTATTGTATTCTACCTGAATTTAGGTAGGGTGGGTGTGTATTTCCATGTCACTTCTGTCTTCTCCTATCTACAGCTTTTCGTAAACTTTAGCTATTCACTGGCCATCAACCGAAATAATTTGTGATTTCCTTTACGAGCAAGAAGAGCTGATTTTCTCCTGGCATGTTTTCCAATCTTTCAAACAAGATGCCATCCATTCTAGCTTGGACACCATTTAAGGAGGTGACGTCCTGTAGCACCCCCTTCAAAACCCTGTCAACTCCAAGAATTGAACCCCCGATGCCTGACAAGATCTCCGGTAGCGTCGGTGAGGCCTTTGAGATCTCAACTAGCCGGACCTGCATTATTCAGCACACAGTCAGAAAGCGGGTGGTGAACTCTCAATCATGTAGTTCCACTCAAAACCACACTATGAATACTGCAGCTTGCAACAAATGTCTACAAGTGAATTTCCAAAACTAGGAAAGCAGGATCAACTTGGAATCCCAACTGAAACAGATGAATGAACACTGCTGCTTGAAGGGCACCTCCCTTGATTACTTCATCAGAATGTCAAGCATTGAAAAGGCAATAGCTAAAATCCTATAATCAAAGAATTGAATGTAATTCTGTTGCTATTCAATACATTCTAGACTTTAAGTACATGCACAGATAGTATATATTTATGCATGCATGGCAGACGTTTGTTCATTAAATACTCTTGTTTATAAAAGAACCAACCTTCTTATCCTGTGGTATCTTAGCTCTCTGTTTTGCAATAGCAAGCGCTTGTGAGAATCCACCTAGCGAATCAACCAACCCTCTTGAAGCTGCATCTTGGCCGCTCCAAACTCGACCTTGTGCAACAGTCTCCATCTGGTCAATCTGGTGGAGGAAAGAACTCAGCACATGCTCGAAGAAATATGAGCTACTCAGTATCTGAGAACAATTCTTACACTCATTGAGCGTGACATGGCTGCTTTATCTCGAAATGATGCGTAAGCATTTTGCGCCGACTTCTCAAAAAGTTCTGCCTCGTCTGGTCTGTGGAAATATATCACATTCTTTAAACACGAAATTGTCCATATGATAGCTGTTATGACTTATGAGCAGGCCTTGTAGTATTGCACATACCAAAATAGACAGTACAAGGAGTCAAAGTCACACACAGACACTATGCCAATAGAGCAATACCAGAATACCTTAACAACAGTGAAGCATGAAGCAGCCAGGTGGCAACTCAGACAGCATATTTAACAAATAAAAACAAGAATTAAAAGAGAAAAGGGGGAAACAAAAAATTTAAATGAAAAAAATCAGAAAATTTGAAGAGTTAAGAAGTATTCTACAAAAAAGGAAATCTGGGGAAATTCACAAATAATTTATAAATTTAATAAAAAACAATAAATACAGCGGATAACAGTTCGAAACCGTCATAGTTAGCCTTGATGTTGCTTTCTTTGTATGCATCCGCACTTCTTTTCAAATTTTCCTTCTTTGCGAGTTTTCTCAAATTTTCTAGTTTTTCCACAATATTTTTTTGTCCCCACCCCCTAGACTTTATGGTTGTTCCTATTTTTTCTCTACATTTTTCTTTTTATTTCTTCTTAATTCCGTTTTTGAGAAGTTTATGTGTTGAATATGCTACTGGGCTGCCATGTGTGAGAAAGCCATCGCCATGTCATCCAAATCCATGGATTCAAGAGTTGAGGGGCATGGTTGTCCGGTATCTGAGTCTACCATCTAGGGGGGCTATATCTGAATTAGGCCTAGAGTTGAGGGAAGGAAATTGGTTTCATGCTTCCTTTCTAACAGAGAATGCTTTTAAAAGAAACAGAGAATAGATGGTCCTGGACTTATGGTTATTGGCAAAATCAAATATGTCATAGGCTATTAAATATCACAGCTATTTACAAACCATAGCAGACCTAATAAACCACATCATAAGAGTCGGCATTTGCTGTTCTATGATTAAAACGAATAATTCGATGATGAAAAAATAAACAAAAAATACTGAGAGGGTACAATCTGCTTGATTTATGATGAAATCACGTGATAAATTAATATTCCACTTGTCTATTAAAGGCAAACACGTTGAACCATTGTAAACTATAGCACCATTCCAAATTTCCAGTGCACGGCTTTCATACTATTCTTAACTTGACTTGACTCCGACGGTATCAGACTATTTTTGTTACAATCTGGTAACGGTCGCTGGATCCTGTGGGCTCTCCTCAAATTTACTTCTATTTTATTTTCCTAATATACCGTAGCACATGAAGTGCCAATATTACCTTAAAGGGCGTTGATCAGCTGCATTAAGCTCTGCATATCTACCCCTAGATAGAATTTCTTTGTTGAAGTCAATCCTCTCATACAGCTTTTGAAGGATAAATTTTCCTGTTATTCCAATACAGAAATAGTAAGATAAGAAACAAACACTCAACGACAGCCAAATTCACTATCCAAACTGAGATCGAGTAGAATAGTAAGCCCAAAGTTGAGACTGTTGCAAGAGAACATAGAATTCGCACTGTGGAAGACCTGTTACTAATCTTAGCAAGCACAAATAGAAGGTAATAAGGATCACCTGTAATAACTCCAATTGATCCTGTTAGAGTAAGTTTCTCAGCAACAATAACTGGCGCAGCCATTGCCATGTAGTATCCACCACTTGCAGCAACATCAGACATGGAAGCTATCACAGGCTTGGACTCAGCCAGGAGTCGAATTTCCCTCCACATCCTAGTTAAAATAAGAATAATCAATACATAACTGAAACTCTGCTGCTGCTTCTGCTGCCTAAATGAAACCTGAGGCAGAACTCACAGATCAGAAGCAAGAGCATCACCACCAGGGCTGTCTATACGGAGGATAACAGCTTTATACTTTTCTGACTCTGGAAAGGGTAAGAGACTTGTACATTAAAATTAGATGAAATTATTCTGTTAACCTATAAACTATGACAGAAGTTTGCATTATATGTGTACTTATATAAGCTACACCAACTGCTTCTACAATCTGTGCTCACTGCATTGAAACAGAGAAATCTTATCTCATCTAAAAATATAAATAAATTAGGGAACTGAATCCAGTTTAAAAAATGTTCAGATGTATTTTATATTTTTTTCTACCCGGTACAAACGTATACATCAAATTTGCATCTGAGACACCGATTGATTGCTGAGATAACATTATCATAATTACCTCTAACAGTACGTATCTTCTTGATTAACTGCTCGGCAATAATGCCCGAACTAGAAATACTCAGGCCACTGCGAGTTCGTGTTATGCTTCCAGATGCTCTGATTACTGCTATTAAGTCTCCTCCTCCTCCTATCCCAAGAGTTGATTTTCTTACACGTGAATATTTACTGGCAGTTCAGACCAATGTCAGTTCAGTAAATAAAACAAGGAGTTTATATGTGTTGACCTTTCAGATTAATCAAGCAACATCAAATAATACCAAACAAATGAAGTGTGCAAAAAAACTGAGCAGACGCCTCATAGTATAGGATAGAAAAATTGCAACATTTTAGGATCAGGTGCACACACGCTGACAGTCCACAAAACAAAACTTAACTGGCCCTAGCTGACACAAACTAAGGGATATAATCCGAGTCATCTTTTCAGTTAGGAAAATTATCTTTTCTTTTAAAGGAAGCGTTATTATTTAGCTTAGCCCTTAAGTAAATCAGAGGTAAGGATGAACCCTTTACTCCTTTTCCCCTGTAATGTGGTAGCGGTACCACTCCTCTTTCACTGGGCCACAGGAGTTCAGGGCCACGCCTGTTGACCTCGACAACTACCCTATATGCTCCAATCCTTCCATAATATCCCAGCCCATAAAAAATGTTATTAACAATCGTGCACTCTGCTCATATCAACAAAGAGCCAGAGATTGTAGGTTCCACTGGCTATTGTATAGTTTCCGATAACTACTGCTGATCCAGTTTGGCCTGTTCAGCCTAGAGATGGAGATGACCACTATCTATGGTTATTTTCCAAAAAAATGTCTATATCAGTGTATATGTGTAGGTTTGAAGCATATATATGTAATTGGTCATGTCTAAGTGGAGCGAGGCCAGGGTTAATTTGGTCATTTCTCACTTCACAAACAGCAATAGAGATGGTAATGGCTGAAAATTGACAGTGGTGGCAAAAACATAAAAATTGATGGAAGAGTGCCATTTTGAGAAATAGCTGAAAAGCAATGGCACAGTTAAAGTTCCAGAGTCGACTAGTGCCATTGCTATAAATTTATCAGAAATCCTTAACTTGGCTGGCTTCCAGTCTGCACCCAGTTTTCAAGAACAATGAATATCTAAATTACCTGTAGTCAACCATACGCAGGCTTTTCTTGTCATTCTGTCCTACTCTCTCTTTCAGCATTGTCATTACCTAATGAATAAGACAACGCCGACAAAAACAATAGCAGACAAATAAAAATAAATAAAGTAAATAATTCAGTATTCTAATTCAAATAAACAACACATTATGTAAAATTCCATGTCTAATTTGCCAGTTTGACAAGTCGCATATCCTGAACATTTCCACATTTCAATAAAGAAACTCCAACTAAGCTTGGCTGCCTGAGTTAGCAATTAACATATCCAAGTAGATCAGTATATGTTGTAGGAAGATTTGATGTTTCCTTGTTGTGGACACTTACCTCAACTAGGACCCTAAAGTTCCCTTTCTAACTAAATCGAAGAGTCTTGTATAGATATGACTTGCTTGTGCACTAATAATGGCCAAGGATCTCACTATTTTACACACCGATAATATAAATAGAGAGACATCACTTTACATTCCTAATACAGATTACATATCATGTCTCTGGGACTAAATTTGTGTCTCATGTCTTTAATTTCTTGTTCATGGGTGCTTCTTTGATGCATAACATTTCTACTAGTTGAACCTCTGCCTGCAACACATGTTACTACTCTAGAGCCCCAAAACAAAGAGACTGAAAAGTTTTGCTGTTTACTTAATATTGATGATATGAAATAAAAAGAGGAAATAAGGATCGTTAAAGTTAAAACATCACTTGTATTCCTAATACTAATCACCATGGGTTGGGCAGAAGATGCAGTAACAACTAACTTAACTCAATTTAGTCTTGTGCAATTTACTTGCCAACTCAGTGATCAGCTAAGGAGGGAATCTGTACCTGATCATCATACAATAGATCTGTTATCCAACCTTCTTTCTTAAGTCTCTCGACCTGATAGACTCCTGAGTTGACAAATTCCTCAATCTCTTCTTTTTTCTTCCCTAGAAAAAAAAATCTGTAATGATGATGTTTCAATTAAATATGTGAAAGTGAAACAGATCTATTTAATTACCATGTGTGGAAGACACTGTATCTAGCCAGTTTCCATAGATATTATCAAGCAGTGCACCCAGCATCTCCTTAACTTCATTTGACATGCTCTTCCGCCCAAGTTGGTCTCCGGCACTTTTGTAGCGACCAATTCGTTGAATTTCTGGCTGTACTCCAACTTTCTCAAGCACACCTTGCAAATCGAATTAAAAAGTGCTAGAGTGTTAGCTACCAGAAAAGAACGAAGATGCATTCAGATTGTCTCATTTTGTGGACAAATAACACACTGGGCATGACCAAGCTCACAAAACTTGGTTCACAATGAGAAGCTAAACTAATCAGAAATGCATTGAACGTTATAACAGAATGAAGGATATATGCTGCAAAAATAGCAAATACTTCTGTAGTTCTGTCGCACTATAACAAGTTTAATTTTGAAACAGGTTTGAGGATCAACATAAAATAACGCCTACTTGATCATGGTGCACTTGACCAATAACCAGAGGTATCATGTTATCGCTGTACATGCAGTTACCTCTGAGAAATGTCTGCTGAATGGTTAGACCATACAAAGCAACATAAGCACTTGGCGGTGCATACAGCTCAGCACATGCACTAGCAAGGTAGTATTCTTTCTCCCCTCCGACGGGCATGTAACCGACAACAAATTTACCTACAAAAATATGCAGCACTTGTCATAATATGACAGACATGAACATAAGGTAAGATACTACCAAATTCAGCATAGCTTGTGATTACCAGATTTCTTGAAATCCACAATGTGCCTTCTGATCTCCTCCGCCTTTCCCCATCCACAGCTCAGCGGCTCTATGTGCAGGTAAATCCCTGATATCCGTGGATCATATGCTGCCTTCTCGAAATTCTCGCAGATTTGCGGCAGCGAGAGCCCTGACGAGAAGCGGGTCTTCAACTGATCAGATATCTGCAACCATGGGAACACACGATCAAAATCCAAACCCACACAATACAGTATAAGACTAGCAAATGTTATAACAAAGTCCAAACATGTCTCGATTACAAAATGACCAAATACAGTGGCAGGTGCGCGTGAGTGAACGGAAACACACGCCAATTCACCCACCCACGCAAGCATACGCACACGCACACGGCGTGTGCCAGGATCTGCAACAGCAACAGTAAATTTGCTACCACGATACAAATATCAGGGCGTCCGCTAAGATGATAAGGCTCCCATAATAATGCACGAAATGAGCAAATCGTACTACTAAGAAGGGTAGCAACATCAGCAAGTGCGCGGTGCCGAAGAGCAGCGCACCTCGCCCCGAAGCGTCATGGTGAGGACGCTGCCCTTGCGGACGCGCTTCCACGGCGGGGCGACGAGCATCTTGAGCTTGACCGCGAGCTGGGTGCCCCAGCCGAGCTCCTCCACCACGAACGCCGGCGCCGCGGGCAGCGGCTCCTGGGCCTCGCCCGCGGCCAGAGGCGCCTCCTCCTGCTTGGTGGCCCCCGAAGACGACTCGACGGCGCGGAGGGGCGACGGGAGGTGGCGGCGGGCGAGGCGGGGGAAGGACGCGGAGCGGGAGGAGGTGATGGCGGTGGCGACGGCGGAGAGGCTGGACCGGTGGTACGGCGCCGAGCGGAGCACGAGCAGCCTCGCCATTGCTCAGGAGGCTTCCTGAAGCTTCGGGGAGGGAGGAAGGAAGGGCGGGGTGGGCTGGGGGAGAGCCGCGCCCCTCGTCGCGGCGTCGGGGATGATGGGTGGAGTGGTGGGAGGGAATGGAAGCGGGCGGGGACGGAGGGGGGAGAAGGCGCTGGGGGTCAAGTGTGGTGGACCGGTTCCAGGGATCGTGGGGTCGGGAGCGGAGCGGAGGAGGTGGCCGGCTCGGGGCGATAGGTGTGGGGCGGTTCACTTGGCGCCACGTTGGGCGCGTGAGACGCAGAGTATGGGCACTTTTCTCAACTCTCTGTTGGAATAGGAAAAAGTTCAAAATAAACCTTGAAGTTATAGACAAAAGCTTAATCAAATCTTAAACTTTGAATCCCGAAAATTGGCACTCTGAACTTGCAATCCCGGTCTATTTTGGACCCTACACCTGTTTGGCAAACTGGGAATAGTACAATTCCAGCCGGGATAACCAGCTACTCTCACGGACAAGAATTTAGGCCGGGCCCCTATAACACAACAAGACTTCGTGGCGTTTAAAAAATGTTTGCATGTTTTTTAAATTGTTCAGAAGTTAAAATATGTTCATGCTTTCTATTTTTGGCGCAAATTCAATTAATTTCGTGTTTTATAAAAAATATTTGGCATTTTAAAATTCTGTTCACATTTTAAAAAATCGTTTGCGATTTCAAAAAGAAAAACAAATTTGTCAAAAATGTTCAGAATACCAATATTTTTTCAGATGCTATGATTTATTTTTCCATATTTTCAAATTGTGTCACATTTTAAAATATGTTTTTTGAATTTCATAAACTATTTCGTAAATAATGTTTTTTAAAAATGATTTCGCTTGTTGGCTGCGGAATCGACTGGGCCGCCCCACCAGACATGATGCGAGTTTGTTTTTGCTTCACACGAGACGTAAAAAATCTTTCTTTCTTTTTCTAAACGCTTGACGTAATAATTCCAAAACAAAAAAACATGCCGTGGAGTCGAACTTGGGACCTAGCATGGTTGACCTGATTTTGCTAGCCACTACACCAGATGACTATGACTAACAGAATAAGAGGCCGAAAGTATTTAAGTAGAAACCAAAGCGCCGAACTTTGAAAACTTTTATTGGGCGCAAAGAAGTAAAACATATTTATTTCTGAAATCTTCAAACATTTCATAAAGTGCGAGAACTTTTTGAAATTTGAATAATTTTAAAAACCAACAACTTTGACAAAGCCAACACCTTTTGAAACATAAATATTTTTTGAAACCTGAACAAAAATGAAACATAATTTTTTTCTGAAACATGAACAAAATTTTAAAGTGCAAACACTTTTTTGATACATAAACATTTTCTGACTTTGTGACATCTAGAAAATACCACAAATTTTTAAAAAATGTATGGGCCAATTCAAACAAATGTTTATGCAATGTATAATACTCCCTTCATTTTTGTATACAAGGCCACTATCAAAATTACAATTTGCATCTATACAAGGCTACTACTCCCTCCTTCCATCTATATAGGGCCTAATGCGTTTTTTAAGACCGCCTTTGACTATTGACAAGATTAATAGTACATGACATGCATAATATAAAAATTATATCATTGAAAGCTCCTTTCACACATGAATTTAATGATGTGCTTTGTGTAAGTTGCATGTCATATATTATTGCTATAATATTTGGTCAAAGTTAGCCTCGAAAAACTCATTAGGCCCTATATAGATGGAAGGAGGGAGTAACACAAATTGATGTAAAATTGATGAGGTTTGCCTAGTACTAGCAACCGAAGACATTAATACCTCATGCATGCATGCGGGAGTGAGAAGATTGATTTGTATGCACCTTATTAATCAACCAACAAGGAGTGAGAGAGTTGTCTCGTTGTGCGTTGGAGAGAAAAATACACATTAATTAACACGTCAAGCAAGAAGAAAAAACTAGTTTGCAACATTGGCTTAAGTAGCTATTAATTTCTACCTTGGTACCTGTAATATTGGTTTGTGCACCCGCAAAAAAAATATTGGTTTGTGGTCTTGTATATAAAAATGGAGGGAGTAATATTCGTGTGATTCAAAAAACATGTTTCGTACATTCAAAAAAATGTAACATTTCAAGAATGTTCACGAGTTTCAGAAAATGTGTTTGTGACATTTTAAAAAAATGTATGTACAATGTAACGAAAATGTGTGGGTGTTCTACAAAAATGTGTCATGACCTTAACAGAATATACGTGACATGTAATAGAAAAAAGTGTATGTGAATTTAAAAATGTTGAACCATGTAAAAGATTGTTCGTGTAGTTTTGTAAAATGTGTATTGTCATTAAGATGTATTTCAAAAAATATTACCATGTATTCAAAAAAGTTTTGAAAACATTTAATTTCAAAATGTCCATAACGTATTTGAAAATATCAAAAAAAATCAAAAGAATATTTAATGTGTGCGTTCAAAATGTACATTGAATACTGAGAAAAATTAGACATGTGTAGAAATGAAAAAAATAAAAAGAAAACGTAAAAGAAAAAAAAGACTAGTGCACGCGCACGAGCGACTGCGCTACTGGGCCGGCCCAATTCAGCAAATACCGGCCAAGTCCTCTCAAGGTTTAAAATAGACCGGGATTATAGAGTTCGGTGTGCTGATTTCAGGGATTGAGAGTTCGAGGTTTGATTTAGCTTTCGTCTATAAATTTAAGGTTTATTTTAGACTTTTTTCGTTGGAATATGTCGACGAAGGCTCAGTTGGAATTTCATCAGTTTTTTCTCTTCACTTCCTTCTTTGTACCCCTTAAGAAAAAAAGTTCCTTTTTTGTGTTTCTCTACTCCTATAAAAAAATGAGTTGGGGATGATGGTGCCTGCCTTCGTGGCATCTGCACCATCTGATTTGAATCGTAGCGTCTCACTTGTATAATTTGCAAAAATACCCCACGTGTAGTATGGAATTGCAGAGAATATATCCAGAATACAACAACGCACAATGTGATCTTCTTGTTTCTACCTCTCTCTCTGAAGAAGTAGAAGCTTTGAGTACCCTCCCAAATTCTTGCCGCCGGACCCTCCCCTCTCTTCCCTGGTGAGTGCAGGATTTGAGTTGGGGCAAGGATCCCTGTGCTTGTATCTTTGTGGTTGTAATCAGGGTCTTGATCCATTGGATTTGGCTTCAAGATTGCTCAGTATCTCCTTCTAGATCTGACCGTGCAGGCCGTCGGAGATGGAGATGGTAGTGGCGGTTGCTGCCATATCCGAGTCTGCTCAAGTAAGTTAGCTCGTTTTCTATCTTGGCGTTGATCCCCTTTTGTGTGTTGGCCTTGGTTCTCAACCTCCAACGTGCCTTTTGTCTATGTTGCACATGGAGGATTGAAGGCTACCGCGGCAAGACCGCCGTGAACAGGCCTAGGAGTTGTAGGTGCAGAGGATATTTGCCAGTGGTGAGCTACTAGTTTCCGGTGGCTCCAGCACTAAACTGACAATAGAAGATGGGCAATATATTTTTAAGTTTGCTTCTTGTTCGATTAGGTGCATATTTCGCGAGATTATCTCATTCCAACATGCCTCTAATTTTGATTTTTCGTGCATATTTCATGATATAAGTGCAACTTCGCAGAGGGGTCACTCACGAGCAAGGTGATGCCATTAAGTATATTACTGTGTTAGTTTGCATCAAAGAAATCAGACTAATTTCTCTTGCCTCTACAGATAAATTAGTCATGGAGCTATCTTCAGGAAAGACTACCGATCTAGAACTAGCTGTATTTTCATGGACAATTTTGTTGCTCTGACTGAACAGAATGTCTCTGTAATTTAGCCAAACATTATATCACCATGCCATTACCTAGGTTTTTGCACATAATTCTTGTCCGTTTGGGTGGTGCCAAACCGCTAATAGAAGACAAGTTGGCTTCTTTTTGAAAAATGACACAAATGCATAACTGTATGTTATTTATGGTTGTCTCTGCTGCCTACGACCTAGAATTACAAGAGGTCCAGTGCTATTTGTGTGTGTGTGTACTACACATGATTTCAAAGCATTTTTACTATACGTTTCATTTCTTTGCTGGGTACAAAATGTATTGCAGCTCTTGTTCATTGTTTTTCATTTTGTATAAATGTAGTATGAACTCTCTACATGCTCAGTTTTTCTCCTTTGTTGTCCTCTTAGGTGAGCAGATGGATGAAGCAAAATAACCAGAACTAATATTGTTGGAACATATGTTTTGAGCACACAATTGTAAGGAAGGTACACTGCTTTACAGATGATTCCATGGCCTAATAGACCCCTATGGTAATTAACTAATTAATTGGAACTAGCTGTGAAAGTTATGTCTAGAATATTTCTTCTCTTCATGGTAGCGTTGTATCCAGATTCATTTTTCCTGTGCATATTTGGCAAAGCATTCTGTTAACCAATTCTACTTCATTCTTGTTTGTCCTCGAACCATTTATAAGTGTGTGCTCAAGCTATAGTATGT